ATATTATAAATTCTAATACTTAAAAAAAAAAAAAAATCACCCCATAAATATTAAGATATATTATTCTAATAAGTGTCAATAATATAACGATTTAATGATTTCAAAAGACAGACGCGATTTTTCAAAATGGCGGATTTATTGACACGTATCAACATGTTAAAGGTCACTACGTACAATAATGGACAAGTTTAAACAAGCATTCAATATTGATTTAATAATCATGTTATCACAGATTAATAGCCATAGGTGAATAAATATTATGTAATATCAGAGCCATATAATACAATAATGATCTGTTAATACCAAGGTGGGGTTTTCCTGTCTATCTATTAATAGACTGGGAATTTTCATCAAATTTAAAGAAAAAATATATATACTTATCCATAATAAAAACAAACGTAATAAGTAACACTTTTTAATGATCTTATTCCCCAGAAATTAATTAATTTAATAAATTAATGTCAGAATACCTAAAAATGACGTCATAAAAATAAGCCTCACATCGGGAGGCTACCTCTCAGGAGGCTACCTCTCAGGAGGCTACCTCTCAGGAGGCTACCTTTTTCCCATAGGGTTAACATTAGACGAAAGTCGCCAGAACCCCCACTTCCCCCACTACTTACATTTCTCAACTCATACGATATTCAGGAGCTTGTAGCTGCTACTCAGAATTTTTAAAACGTTATCAGTGTTTGAGCAAGACATTAATGAGGCAAATTTGGTGAAAGAACGTCTAGTCTTTTTTCTCAAAAAGTTCATTGGAAAGTACCAAGACCTAATAGATAAATATTCAGTATCTAATTCACAAATAATACAGGATGGTCTTGAGTTATATATACTAGGTGTAGAATTTTATCTAATTTACAGTTTTATCTTTTTTTGTCTTTGTACTTTTATGTTCCAATTGATCGTATGACTCTTGACGTGGTTCGGCGCGCATGCAGCTTTCATGTTTTTGGCTTTTGGAGTTCCTTATGCGGTTGGGTCCAGAGATGAGATTCGGACACATGAGGTTTTATAGCGTTGTTTTCATTTTGTATACCCTTGTTTTTATATTTTTCATATTTTGTATTTTTTCGGGAAAGTGTAAATAGATCTATCGTGATGCTTACTATACTGACTGTATTACCAACTACAAAAACTTTTTGTTAGCGTCTGTGTTTGATTTAATTGTATGTGTGTTTGAACGTTTAAGTCGTGTTATATATCTGTGATGTATGTTTACACAGGTTTGGCTGCTGGATCGCAGTTATGGCCACGTTAACAAATTATGTCTGTTTCCCAATGGGTTGCTTACCCAATTTCGCAATATAACAGAATATTAAACAACTGTCATACAAGTGGGCACTTTAGCTAGCTAGAAAACCAGGTTTAACCCACCATTGTTTTAGGGAAATGCCTGTGCCAAGTCAGGATTATGGCAGTTGTTTTCCTGCGGTTGTCTTTAAACAATTTTTTTTTTGCCAATTTTTACAAAAATCAACAAGGATCTTCGTTTTATAGATATGACTGCAGAAAAATTCACCGAAATTAGATGAGACAATCTTAAGTTTCCATACGACATAAAACGTATGCAAGACGGACAGACGGACTTATATTGTTATAGGGCAACTAGTCAGTGTGCATGGTGTGGTTTAATCAAATAATCAGATCCACTGTCATTTAGCCATCATAGCCCTATTCACAAACAAACCTGAAGCGGAATAATTAAATCATGAAAATCCAATCTTTGATATACCAATTACAAATATAAATTATCATGTGTTTAAAAAACAATTTGATCGTTTTCGTGGATTTTTGCCATTACAAATTAGCGGCATCAGATATTTCATAATATTTTTCACGATCATCAAATAGCGGTACCCGATCTTTCACGATCAGAAATATCGAATTTTTACAAATATTCTCATTTTTGCAAAGTTTCTGATTAAACTAAAACAAAATTACTTCAAGAACCATTTCAAACAGTAATAAAGAACGATATTTTTAAGAGAAAAGTAGTTTATGCATTCAAAATATGAAAAAAAAATCATGTTCTTTGAAATTTCGATGAACAATTTGCCTTTTGTAGTTTTGTAAAAACGGTGTACTTTTAAACCTCGATTTTTCTCGGATACTGTTTATAATGTTAAACCATTTTGACAGACAGTTTTATTTTTCAAATATTTGTCATTATAATTAATTAAATTAGATTATTTACTGAAGTTGCATATGTCTTCTCGATAAGATTTTCTTCACGATCCTATACCAGATCTTTCACGATCCAATCGCAATACTTAACCACCGTTACTTATTCTTTCACGATCATTTTTCTCGATATACCGAATGACAGCCGAGTTTTTTGTTCGTGTCTTAATTTGTAAAATTATTTGGAACAAAAGAAATTTATAAGCGGGAATATTAGATAAAATATTACTGTACTGAATTGATTGTTAATTTTTGTTGTTGCTGCAATATGTTGCATCATACAAATCTCAATATTGGGATTAATTGAGTTTTCTGTACTTTTCATAGTTTACTAACGTTGTACAGAACAACTGACCTGTGTCAACATTCAATGGACAAAACTATAAATTATATGGTTTATTACTGAACCCCCACTGATCCATAAAGGGTTAGATAAATCGGGGGGGGGGGGGGGGGTCACCACGTGACCGCGTTTAACCAATCACAAGTGCGATAAATTCAGATATAGACCTTTCCTTGCAACTGGACTTCCATACACTGTTAATTTTTTTCTGAGTAGACGTGAAGTTAACGAGATGATAATCCAAATTGGTTCACGTATTTAAAGCCAGTACATCGTACAAAAAGTGAATAAAAAAAATTTCCACTGAGACGTTTGATAAGGTGGGATAGGGATCAATATATATTCTGAATCAGTTGATTGTATATTGTCTTGATTTGTACCCTAAGATGGTATTCTTACCTCTTAGTCTACCTTTTGTTGACACCAAATTTGCATGGCTTTCGAGACAACTTATCGCAAGGTCTATCTAAAGCTTTGCGTTAAACCTCTTGCACTAGACGATGTTCTGAAACATTTTAAAAATGTTTGTGTGAAGTTCGGGATTTTTCATATGTTCTTTATTCGCAATTTTTTATCAGGCAATTGATACAGATGACAATTATTATTATATCTCAGTATGTATATTCATCATAAAATTATAGACGAATAAATTTACTTTTTTTTCGAAACTGTATGAAAAAGACTATTTACTGGTTAATAGTTTCAAATGCTATCAATCCTGCAATCAGCCAACTATTTTACAAATAACAGGTACACACATACATGTTTGCTTTTTTCTTGTACAAACAAAGTTTCCTATTACTCCGCTTCTATATTGAGCAAACGCGTACGGTAATGTGAATATTTCTTTTTGTGTAACAGTTCATCTCGGGGTCCTCTTCGCGGTACACGTTTAAACTTTGTCAGTTTCTGTGAGAAATCAGAAACAACTATTAGGATTTAAACAACTAAACCTTAAAGTGACGTGTTTAAATTGCAGGATAGAAAAAAAAATAAATGTACATTGTCGGAAATATAAAATCTATTTGTATTTATAAATTTTTTTACTTATTGTTTCTATTTATTATCTGATATTGTTTTCCACTTGTATTAAATAATGTAAACACTTTTTAAGACGATAACTATTTTAATGTAAGTGGTATTTATCGGATCACAACACATTATTATCGTCGTATAAAATATTTTAATATTCTTTCTTCATCTTTTTTAATAGGACTGAAATTAAGAAGATATGATGCCAATGAAACAACTATTAACTAAGATGTGATATGATTGCGAATGAGACAACTATCAAGCAGAGTCAAATAGACGCGAATGTTAGCAATTATAGGTCACCATACAGCCTTCAACAATGAGCAAACCCCATAACGTATACTCAGATATAAAAGGTCGAGACATGACAAAATGTGAAATAATTCAAACATAAAAACCAACAGACCCATTCTTGACAAAACAATGACTGAAAGCAACCAACGATAACCACTGAATAACAGGCTACCGTCTTGGGACAGGCACTAAAACGAATGCTCAACCATCTCCGAGTTCATTCTACATATGGGTAGGGGGTAGCCAAGCATTACATATATACTTCATACATTAATTTTGTTATTGTTATTATGCCTATAGCTAGCACATCGTTTAATAATGACACACGTGTTTAAATCGTAAATTTCAAGACTTTTAAATACATTTTGTAAAACAAGAATTTTGGGAAATATTTTGTAGTGTTACTAAGTACAACATATAGTGCTTTTAACATTTATTTTCAACAGCAAAATTTAACGAAAAATAACATTTTTACTTGAGAAATTATGTAAAATTGTTTAAAATGTTTTTAGCATATGATGTAGCCTCCAAATTATTGAAAATTCAGAAGAATTTTACAACTTTTAGATTTTGACCATGTAAGTGAAACAAATACAGGGGAAATTGGCACTAGCCTATTCATTGAGAATGGTAAGTATATTTTTGATATGCTTGTAGTAGATTTGTCTCATGTTTTCCGTATAACGGATTTGAGTGTTAATTCCAATTATAAAGGTTACTTTGTCCAACTAACCAAAAGAAAAAGAAGATACGGAACAACAACAAGAAGTCTCCCCATGTTCGTGAGGTACTTATAAGACTAGTATCCTCGATAAGTTTTGACAACCACTAGGTTGATGTCACTGCTGGTGGAAGTTTCGTCCATGATAATATCACAAGCCCAGTAGTCTGTGCTTACATGACATGTAATTGATACGGTCATTTTTTGTAAATTTACTGTTCTGAAAATGTAAAAAATATTGGAAACTCTCAGGTATACATGACCTAAGCCAGATTTGATACAACGTTTTGGAACTTCTGCTTTCCAAAAGTCTACATGCAACTTCGTAAATAATTTGGCCTTTCAACTGTTTTAATTACAGCTCCACTGATGAGTCTTAGGTAAACAAAACGCTTCTGACGTAAAACAATTATAAGCCTGGTATCTTTGATGAATTATTTTATTTGAATTAATCTAACACGTGATAAAAAATTATTTTTTGTTCAGAATTTTGTTATTTCAATATTTTTGTCGAGTTTTACATCTGAATTTTCGTTTTCATATATTTCCCCGTTTCTGTCCACACGAATTTCAAGTTTTGACAACATTCGAAATCTTTTTGTTTTCTTTGATAGGAGAGTGCCAACGCAAAAAAGTAGGAACAATACAATACTTTCTCCTAGTAAGATGTAACAGAACCAAACAGGTGATACTTCCATAAGCTGCCCAAGAATTACCGGGTTGATTATTACCCCACTGCTTCCTGATATCATTATCAAAGCCGTAACTCGAGCAGAAACATGAAGGAAATTCTCTTCTGTCCATGCTAAAAATAATGGGAAGAAAACCGACATAAAGAATCCACAGATGGCAGCAGATGCCCAAATGCCATCATCAAGTCCATATAAAGTAGTCAACAAGAGCACGGTAATTGATGAAACTATCATCAAACTGTAGAAAGTCAAGAATTTAGACAAATCAAATAATGGCGCTATAAATATTCCGATAAGACTACCACCTGAAAATGAAGCCCAGTAAAGTGATGTAGCATATGAAGCTACAGATTTTCCCCATTGATACTGCTTTACAGCAAACGTCGCCAAAAAACTGGCAAACGAATCCTCAAGTGCTGTGTAAACTGATGAACATAAGGCTATTATCAATAAAGCTGGGATACGGAGCAATAGTGGAAGTTCACACTTTTTGTCTACTTTTGATTCCTTTTTTTGTTTTGTTTCCGTCAGTTGCTTATCAAATGTAAAGTACATGACAAAAAATGGAACAACTGACAGAAAACTTAATCCTGCAGAAATTAAGAATGGTTTATAAATTTCCGTTGTTAGTGAACTCTCGCTAGTATTTCGTAAAATTGAAAGGTCATGTGAATTTTGAACCGTGGATGCGTTACTATTGTTGTAAAGCAAAGTTGTTACATTAAATATACCATCATACGACTCGTTTTTTATTATATCTGATCCTTCAAACTGATTTAAGAAAGGAGCAGTGGCTAGCGATGATAGCATTCCTCCAACTGTGTAGAAAAAATGAAGAATCTGTATATATCTTCTGCAGTCTTGACCAAGAAGGTGAATCAAAAGGGTTGAAGCAACTGTAAAAATAAAACAAATAGCATTCCTTACATTGTTATGTTGCTCAGTTAAACCATTTCAAAGGAAAAAAGTCATTAGTTATAATTCTTGTGTGGTCCATTTTCCATTATTCGACACTGTATGTGTCAAACATACAACATCTATAAACCAAAAATGTCTGGGGTTTTTCTAATTTTATCTATAAAATTACATGTAACTTCAGCAAATCCAACAAACTATTTGTGGATCTGGCCCTTCGTCAAATATGACCATCAAAGTGGTTCGTTAACAACCCGTTTTTTTTCAAAAGGAAAAGAAAAAAAAACCCAGATACATTATAAACTTAAAATTGTGGGCCTTCAATGCTCTTGGACTTCGAACTTTATTTGGCCTTTTTAATTATTTTTTATATTCAAACGTCACTGATGAGTCTTTTGTAGACGAACCGTGCGTCCGCGGCATACACAATTTTAATCCTGTTATTTATGATGAGTTATTATAAACTGGTTAGAATGGTTCTATAGGAGACTCCACATTATGTCTCCGTGTCATCAGTAAAAGTTAGTCCGGTAAATAAAACACATTACAGTACTGAAAGAATGTTGCCATGATAAATATACATGGTTAATTAATGGATGGCGATCTTAAATGTTTTCGAAATATATTACAAGTTAGGATATAAGGAAGCGGAGCCGTACCCTCCAATGGGGGGGGGGGGGATCCGAATAGTTTTTGATAGGAAACATTTACAATAAAAGGGTAAGTACGACCCCCAGGGTCAACACCTTTAAGGCACTGCAAAGGGCCTTATCAATTAAGAATATTCATGGTTCAGTAACGGGGATCTGAGCAGTTTTCAAGATGATATGAATGTCCGGAATATCTTCCCCGTGAAAAAACCCATACTCCAATAGAAAGGTATTAACATAGCATTTTGTTACATTTAGGTCAAAGATCAAGTACAAAGGTAATCTTCAATAACACATCGTCTTGAAGAATTAGTGATTCCTCCATGTTTCAAATATCAAAAGTATATGTCAAAGGATAAACAATTATTACCTAGACAAAACTGTTCCCAAAAATGACATATGCGAACCTTAAGAGACCTGTATGTGGTCAAGGTCACCTGAAGGTCATGAATATACGCAACAAACAACCTTACGCCAGGAAGTTATAGATTAAACATGGCAAACCTGATTTGTTGAAAGCTGAATTATACATACCTCCATCTGAAAATCCACACATAAATCCCTTTAGAACATGCATTGTGAACATGAGTTCATAGTATTTGCACCATGGTATGGCAGCCATAACGATTGTGATGCCGACATTTCCGAAAACAATATGCAAAAATTTATCTAATCTGTCAAAAGTGACTCCAATAACAAGAGATGAAACTAAATATCCACATGAGATAGCTGTAAAGAACAGAGAGGCTTGTTCTAGTGAACAGTTTGCTATAATTTGAAGGTCTAAAAGAGTCGGCCCTCCAAGTCCAAGATTCCAACCCTGCATATATAAATTTAATAGAAATAAAGTATCATTCCATCGAGGTTTATCATAAAGTCTTTGCAATTTATCTTACATAATAATACTATGATGTATACACTCGGAGTGGCAGTTTGATTGAAATATACAATTCTGAGTACGGAAAATTTTGCAATTGTTTTGTGCAGATAAGAAGAAAACACAAACTACATTTGAACAGCATCATATGTAATAATAATATCTGAATATAAATTACTGGTCTCGGCTTGCGAGTAGAGTTTACGGAACAAAAGACGCCCTAAAATGTTCTGATCAATAGGCTATAGTTTTTCTATTTACTTTTTTATTTTGATTTAACAATACTAGTTGTAGAGTAAAACCATTCTTGATTCAGTTTCATTTTACCATTATACATGTATGTAATTGTTACTCACCAAGACAAGAAAAGCAAAACAGGACCACGCAAACATTGTAAAGATTTGTCTGTAGGCTTTGTCGTTCTTCAGTTTTCCGTAGAGATTTAAAGCTGAATCTGGACAAATCGTCATCTTTGCATCAAATGTTTGTTCCTACAGTGAACAGAGCTGTGTATGTTATTTGAATGTAAGTTATCGAACAGATATCATTGTACAGAGAGAAAACGTAAACCAAATGGTCACACTTATGTTAATTTGTTACTATTTATCGAATTTAGGTCTTCCACCTACTTTTCGTGTTACAAACAAAATTATTCCTGCAGCACCATATAAAGCCCATGTGTTCTGACACAGCGTTAAACCACCATCAATTAATCAATCAATCCTGAAATATAGATAACGGAATGACGTATCGTGTTTCCATGAGCAAAAAATGCTAATAAAACAACAATGATATTTTTACTGCTTGTTTATAAGATGATTGTGAATGTAACTAAAACTAGTGCGATATTAGTGTAAACAATTTTACACTCATATTATCGTTTAATAACATGTTTCCATATCAGTCGTTTGGTACAACACATCTTTTTTGTCAACAATAACTCATCATCTTTTCATTATCATGGAAAGATTTCATTAAAAATCCATAGGACAAGACATGACAGAGACAGCACATCCTAACCATTTTTATTGAAGGCACCAATCTTGGTTTATAATGAATGCTTCTGTATCATTTCTAGTTTTGAGATTACATTGAAATGATGACAATCGTTTGTTGATCGGTCAAAGTAGTAAAAAAACGGTTTGTGAATCCATCCATACCGAATAACTAACACTGCTGACATTGACAATGTGATACCCCCACGCTCTTTGTTACGGTAATTTTATTTTAACACAATCAAATATCAGACGACGAATGAAGATGACGCAATCATCCACAGGTAGATAGTCGCTGAAGTTTAGTCTTTAACTAAATGCCTCAAAAATGAAAATAACATCTTATAAATTTTATGCGTGTAAAGCGCTTTTCTAGATTTACCTTCATCTGGAACGCTTCGACCCATATTGAAAGCTAATGATGTACATGAACTCATGTAGAGATTTATGACTTAAGTTGGACCGACAAATTATAGCAAATTCCATAGAGTCGAATGCAACTTTGTACTCTAATTGTCATTTTACTCTTTGAAGAGCATCAATCCAATGCCATAACACACATAAATTACCGGTACCCATGGATGTTGCCTTTCAGCAACACAAAGCTATGTAATTTACATGTACATTTAGGTGAAATGAAAATATCGATTAGACATACTTTGAGAATTCTGGTGTCGTTTATACTCTGTTTTCCTTTTACACTCAAAATAGATATATACATAAATTTGTTATGATGACATGGATTGTTTAAGACAATATGCTACAATGAACTTTATATCTCCGTTGAAATTAAAATTCGCAATGGAGACCGCGATTGAATAAGTTTATACGTACCTGAAATGTTTAACTTTAAAAACTTGTTCCCAGATAGATATCGTTGTCTAAGTTTATATTTAAGACGTCTCAATGAACAAATGAATGTTATATGACCATTTCGTCATCTGAAGTAATATAGGTGTAATATTCATGACGGTGCAGTTAATTGCAAACAAGTATACAATATTAAAAGGTAATTTTATATGAATGGTTAAAGATGAAAACCGAAAGAAGCATGGGCAATTTCTTTGTAATAATTTCTCTGGCAGGGTTAAAGTTCGAAATTTTTGAAAGTTATACCTAAGTTTTTTTTTGTATGTCGCAAAAGATTAAATAGTAAACTTAAAATATTTTTCAACTTAGTTTACATAAAATACCAACATGAATGCATTTATATCTTAAAAAACAATAGCTTCATTCTAATTGTCGTAGCAAAAATCCAGTCCTCCTTCCCTACATTCTGACATTTCTGAATGTGTACTTGCCATCAAACCATGACGGTTGCCACATGTGGAGCAGGATCTCATTACCCTTCCGGAACACATTGGATCAACTCCGGTTACTGGTGGGATTAGTGTTGCCCGGTCTTTCCTTGCACTATTTCACAATTTTTTAATAAGGCATCACGCCACAAACTTTAATGTAGCCGTGTTCACCACTTAATCTAAATACACTTTCTTCCCATATATATGCAAGAATGAACTGTGAAAAATTCGGATTCAAACATTTGAGTTGTTACATTCAAGTATATATGTCATTAGTTAGTCAATAAGCTTGCTAGTTTTGTCATTGTTATTAATACATGTGCTGATACAATACAGTTACGATTTGTATTTCTAAACGTTATAAACACGTGTATCTGTTTTGACATGTATCACGTGACCAAGGTCTACTCACTAATTGAATATATCACGAGATTAATCAAGCGGGAAGAATAATGCCTTTCGAACAGTCCAGTGTGGTCATTCCCGAGACACCCACCCACCCATTTGAGTTGATATTGTAGTTGATGTATTCATACTTGCAATAATGACGTTCAGGTGAATTTTAGATACACTTCACATATCAGATGATGAATAAAAATGACGCAATCAATTGCAGGTAGGTAATTGCTGATTGTTTGTCTGTAGTTGAATACCTTTAAAATGAAAATGACTTTTTTATAAATTGTATGTGTCCGAAGAGCTTCTCTGGATTTTTCTATTTCAGGAATGCTCAGACCCATATTGAAAGCAAATGAGGTAAAAGTAGCTTCACTCATGAAAAGCTATGTGGATAAAATTGGACCGAAAATATTAACCTATTCCATCTAAGGTCCACTTTGTCAGTACTCAACTTCATTTCACTTTTTGAAGAGCAAAAACCAAATGCCATAATACACATCAATTACCCGTACCCGTGCATGTTGCTTTTTAGCAACACAAAGCTCAATTTTGTTAATTGTAATTTACTGCTAGGAAATCACTTATAATCAAGTTGATAGTGTAACCTTTCACATGTTCATTTAGGTGAAATAGAAATATCCATTTAATATACATATTTTTGAAAATCTGGTTGTTCAGACTCAAAACGGATAACTAGTACATAGATATATTTGTTATGATGACATGAAAGTTTCTTTACTATAATTTAAGACAAAAAGTTACTCCATTGAAATATAAAATAAATTCGTAATGGATACGGAGGAATAAATAACTTATACTAAGACATTAGCCATTCGTTTATACATTTGTAAATACCTGTAATGTTAAACGTTAACGGTTATATAAAGGACGTCTCAATGAATAAATGAATATGATATAACTATTTCATCATCTGAAGTAATATGATTATACTATTCATGACGGACAATTCGAAAGATTGCAAATGAGTATACAATAAGGAACATTTGATATGAATTTATGAAATAAGTAAACCGAAAAAATATGGACAATTTTCCAGTATTTGTGTCTCTGACTGGGTTAAATTTAAGAAAGTTATACTTCATTTGTTGTATATCAAAAAGAATAATAAACTTAAATAAAAGGTTTTTCAAAGTATTTTACATAAAATACCAACAGGAATTTATCTATGTCTGGAAAAAATGCATAGCTTCATTCCAATTCCCGTCCTTCTCAATTCTAACATCACCGAATTGTACTTACCATCGGCAACCTGGCGGGTGCCACATGTGCAGCCCCTTAACCTTCCGGAGCAGATAAGATAAATCATGTTGCCCAGTCTTTGGTTTACTCTGTAGTGTTTTGTGGACTGGCTTGTTGTTTCTTCGTTTTATGTCATGGCGTTGTCGGTTTCTCTTCAATTTATGAGTTTTAAATGTCTCCTTAGTATCTTCCACTTTTTCATTTCAGATATTTTTTCATCCAGAAAATCTTTCTTTTTAATTTTTTGGCAAAAATTCTCAAAGTTGCAGCTATGTTTATACATTTGGGATTTGGTGTTCCACTTCATAAGGCATTACTTTACAAATTGTGATGTAGCCATGTTTTCCACTGAATTTACAATCACTCATATAGTTTCCAATACTATAGGTTGCACTTTGTAAATACAGCTGTTTCTCAAACCACGCCTCTTTTGGGGAGATATTTAATATTCATAGGTATGTTAATTTGTTAACGTACTGGTTCCCATTGATGATCTCTGTGTTTCATCTCATAGAGACATCACTTGGGAATGTAACCAGTATAGAAAAACATGGTAGCGGCTAAATTTTAATTCTTAGGAGGTCCAAAAATGGAGGTAAGGGTAGTATAGAATTTTAGTATAAGTTTAAACTCTTAGAAGTTCAGGGCATATAAATGTTGAAAATATGCCGCACAGCCCTATATTTTGACCTTTGAATAAAATAGTAGTGCATATAAACTTTCCGTTCTGGGATATTATTTTTCACGAAACTTCATAGTAAAAGTGTCACAGTTTTAGCCGCAAAGGGAGTTCCTATGGGAAATTGCATTGTCTGTATTTACAGAATTGCAACCTATATAGGGTTAAAAAATAGAACATACAGAATATCACAAAATCTGGTTTATCTCAGAGATTTTAAAGAATTTAACTCAAATATGAAGTTTTATAAATATTTCATGAAGATTGAGAAAATCCTGGGCCTTAACTATGATGACTCAGCATAAATTCACAGTTTACAGTATGCATGGTTTACGTAAAGCCCTGAATTCAAAATAAATTCATAATATATGCCTATTTGTAATTTAAATTGTTTAGAAGTGCTTATATTTACTCTTCGCAGTAATTGCAACTCATTGATCCTTCCTAAATATTTCTGGTGGGGTGTTTTTGTCCTGTCGATAACCCAAAAGTAAGCCGTAACGCCTAAATGTGCTTTTTTGTGACTGCGGCATAAAAAAGTACAAGCTAGAATTACAAAAAGACCTCAGTAAAACTTACAATAGTGTGTTCTATCCTAAATATGTAGTAAATATTCCACATTGCTAGAAACAGGGAAAAAAATTAGGAAATGTGAGGCCCCAGGGGCAAAACACAGAGAAAAATGCCTACCCCTGAGTCATAAAACAGATAATTTAACTTGTAAATGCTATGATTTTTTTATTTTAAAGGTCTTTTATAAAGTAAACAATAACTGTGCTAGGAAGTTATGCAAAAATCAGATGTAAGCAGTCATTTCAATCAAACTTTTAGTGAATTTATGCACCAGACTGATATCTTCATAAATACAACTTTTGCAAATATGGCTTTGTTTAAACACTTCTAGGACATATATTAACTAACTTATGTTAGATATATGGTTAGGGATGATACTGTTGTGACAAGAATTCTAAACTGACCATTTGAGGCAGAAACTGTGAACTTTCATTGACAAATAGGCATACAGTAAGATGTGGACTGGAGACACAGGCAGGATTGGATACTTTGTATAATCTTGAATGTTGGAATGCTTAACTACTAAACAATACATTTATAGTATTCTAAAATGCTTTCAATTTGTTATCAGAATAGTTTCAAACAGGTTTTAGACAGTTCATGTCAGAAAACATGCATATAGGGTAAGCTGGCAATAATTAGAGTCTTGTTTTCAAAATCTTTAAAAAATTGAAACAGGGGTAGGGGTATAAAATGTACTGTAAAAGGAGACTTAGAGTATATGCAGTGATTTCTTTAAGGCTATAATTCTGATAAATAAGTATTGTTGTGAGAAAAAGTGTTTTTAGAGAGTTTTCTATTTGAATAAATGTTTGTATAGGTTGCACTTTGTAAATACAGCTGTTTCTCAAACCACGCCTCTTTTGGGGAGATATTTAATATTCATAGGTATGTTAATTTGTTAACGTACTGGTTCCCATTGATGATCTCTGTGTTTCATCTCATAGAGACATCACTTGGGAATGTAACCAGTATAGAAAAACATGGTAGCGGCTAAATTTTAATTCTTAGGAGGTCCAAAAATGGAGGTAAGGGTAGTATAGAATTTTAGTATAAGTTTAAACTCTTAGAAGTTCAGGGCATATAAATGTTGAAAATATGCCGCACAGCCCTATATTTTGACCTTTGAATAAAATAGTAGTGCATATAAACTTTCCGTTCTGGGATATTATTTTTCACGAAACTTCATAGTAAAAGTGTCACAGTTTTAGCCGCAAAGGGAGTTCCTATGGGAAATTGCATTGTCTGTATTTACAGAATTGCAACCTTCAGATGTTTATGCAAGACTGAACTGTGAACCATTCAAGTATGTATGTCATTAGTTAGTCAATAGGCTTGCTATTTTTGTCATTGCTATTAATACTTGTGCTGATACAATACAATTCAGATTCACATTTATCGTGATTTGCAACGGCGTAAAGACAAACGTACACTTTTATTTCGAAACTTCTCTTCTTTTGCGTCAATTTGATTTAACCAAACTAACAATATTTGACTTACATGATATAGTATAAATACTGATCTAGTTACAGTAAAATTATAATGAGAAAATGTCGTGTCTATGGCAATGCATATATTACAGTTTAAATAACCCAACACCATGACCTTACTAACCATCATTTACCTGTAGTCTGTTACATCTTATTTGACTATACTAACTTACATTCTAACAATCTTTAGATTCACATATTGTTGCTGTACTCCTTATGCGCAATGTTTAACATAAAATTGAGAATGGAAATTGGGAATGTGTCAAAGAGACAACAACCCGACCATAGAGCAGACAACAGCCGAAGGCCACCAATGGGTCTTCAATGCAGCGAGAAACTCCCGCATCCGGAGGCGTCCTTCAGTTGGCCCCTAAACAAATATGCATAAGCCGATTTCTGATTACTTAATTTAATTACAGTTTGCTTGTTGATGTTCTTGGTTTTATATAATTGTTTTCAAAACTTATTGATGCGCCATTGATTTCATATAAAAGAACGGAGATGTGATATGATGGACAATGACCTTTGGTTTTAATACCTGTAGTCACTAGTTAATTGATATTATACATCAAAGATCATTTTGATCTGAACAGGACAAGGTCTTAGAAAATTAAACAATAAATTTATAAGTTATGTTCAATCTTTCTGTTAATTTTTTGACATGACCATTGCAATAAATCCGGTACTGCTAAGACACATCGCTTGCAATCCATTAAGATCTGTACAGTCTTTTTTCAGACTATTCAGTAGTTGGTATTTACCTGTACTGAATTTATCTGAAAAATAATTATCTTTTAAAAAAGGTTCAACATTTTATAGGTTCAGACTTAGATGACGGTAAGATCAAAATAGCCATTTAAGATTATAATACATTTGTTAGTGAGCTGATCACATCTTTGCCCTTTTGTCTTAAAATTTATAGGAAACTAACTATCCAATCTCTTCAGGTAGGTTGACCATTGATGAATTTGGCTATTTGTTTTAGGTCCAATTTGGTCATATATCTCCTAACGTTTCTATGTATTTATGCATTCCTGGCTTTCAATTGTTTAGGTGTGAGCGTGTCTGATGAAGATAAAACATAAAAGCCATTCGGACGCTCGAAATTGCTAAAGCATCGTTTTCATTGAGGGTATTGCATGTTCCGTTAAGAACATTTTGGTTTTGTGTGCTCCGTTATATCGTTTATACTTTCCAAACAGTTGGTTTGAGCTTACTACTATTTGAAGAATGATTTTTAAGAAATACGTGTTGCACACGGAAATACTAGTATATATTTTTTTACATCCACTGTGCCTTAATAACAGTTGGTGCCGTTTGCATATATGGTAGTCATCAATACATTTATATAGACCGAGGCTGGTGGTTTTTGCCTGGATTGTGTTGCTGAATGTTATGATTTCTGTGTAATATTTTGCTGTTGCTTTTTGTTTTGTCGTAATTGTTCTGTCTGACCATGGTGTTGTTTGTTTTATTGGACTTATAATTTGAACAGCCTAGTTGATATCTTTCCTCCTTTTTTTCTGTCAATATAGTTTTTTGTTGTAGTGATGACCGAACAATCAATAAAATTCGGTGCATCATGTGTTATGTAACATATAAGTATTATGGTATTTTGACAATCAAAAAGGTTTCTTTTTACTATGAACTCGAAATGTGTCCTATAAATCATATATATGTTCCAGTGTTTCATATAACCGACACAAAACACACCACACTAGCTCTTTTCTACAATACATGAACAGTAGAAATATATTTTTAATAAAGTCTTGTAAACACCTTTATGGATTTATAACCATTTCACTGACATGAAATTTTGTATTCTTTGATTTTTCTTACTTAGGACATTCATTAATATCAAATTAAACATTCTTTTTTACATTAATGATATTGCAAAAACAAAAGATGTACGCCCGTATTCCATTTCACCCCCTTTTTTCTAATTTGTCTTTGTTTCTCATTGGATACAGAATTCAATGTCTGTACATTTGACTCTTTAAGATATAGTGCATTTTCCTTGTCTTTCTGTTATTGTTTTTTCTTACTTTTGCTACGTTGTGTAGGAAGTATGTATTCGTGTAAATTGCCAAAGCTGCTTGGTAAATTTTCCTCTTCGTTACTGGCAATTGACATTAGATCGTCGCTTCCCATGTCGTCATCATTGATTACTTCTACTGTATCGAAGATATTGTAAAGAAAATCAAATGTTGGTCTCTCGTTAGGATCCTCATTCCAACAGCGAAGTAAAATATCGTAAATCAAATCTGAACAATCTTCAGGTTGAGGGTGTCGATAACCTGATTTCATCATAGGAATAAGGTCTTGTTTCTTAATTCCTGTCAAATTAAATAAAAATAGCTATGCAATATGCCGGAATTATGTTGTAAACTGTTTCTACAAGCAAGGGAGCTATGACACATAGGTTTGTAAGTTATAATTTGATCAATACTTTTTTTACTACACAAATGATATTTAGTTAAATGACTTTAACAACAGTTTTTTTTTCACCTACTAGGGTATGGTTCTTGTCCAAGCATTATTCTTTCAACCATTAATATTCCAAATGACCAGACGTCAGACATTATGGATATTGTTTTGTCAAGAAGAACTTCTGGTGCTGTCCATTTAATAGGTACAGGAAATGCTGCATCTAAATACAAAAAAAAAAGGAAAAATGCATATATATCGTTGTATTAAAAATTTTTTACATTATTTCTACCGATTTTATTCCTCATGGAAGATATTCATGGTTAACATCCATGACTAAAGACTGAGCAACACAAACCCCATTTTAAAACATAACTAAACTTGTTTTATCATTTAATAAAAGACATTCATTTGCATATCGAGTGGAAATAATTCGGAGAATCTGACCAAGTCAAAAAGTTAGAAAATATCATTTAATTGAACCAAGGAGTCAAACTTATTTTTGAAGAAAACAATGACAAAAATCTGAAGCCGATTCTGAAAATGAGAATTTAATATACTTAAGACATATCTCTGAAGTAATTCAAATTTTTAATTAGACGATTTGTATGTTTCAAAGACCAATTTTTTTTTGGTAAATTAACTACAAATACAACAGATAGGTCCTGTAATAGAAGCGGTGGGGATGACGTTTAGGGAGATTTGGACAGCCACTGGAAAATGAGGGTATATTGGATAGGACAGAAATTTTGCCTTGCAACAAACCACTTATTGACCCCTCAAAGAGTTGTTGCAAGGGGTTCTTAACGTACAACAAGCGTGACACTCTCTTTACACGAGGCATCGGATTTAACGTCCAAATTCTGACCAGAAGTGACTGCGTACTTGTACATCTCGCAGAGCCAAACGTACGCCCCACTTTGGCAAAAGTTGGAAGAAGACCTAAGTGACCATATTTCTATTCCCCCAGTTACCCTTAGGGGTTTATAATCAATAAATTTGAAGATAAACATTTAGTTTTTTTTCCTTAAATGAATGATTTTGATAAGAAAACAACACTTCGTGAACATTAAACGATATAAAACAAATACCCATTTTGAATGTATCTCCATTGATTAGAATTTTGGCCATTCCAAAGCCAGTGATTTTAGCTATTATTCCATCAGCAATCAAGACGTTTTTTGCAGACAGATCTGTATGGACAATTCTTTTAGAATTAAGATATTCCATTCCATTACACACCAGCAACCAAAAAGTATATAAGATCTTAGCTAGAAATCTAATACACACTGAAACTATATAGAAAAACAAGATGAGAATACATCGCACTATTTTCAAAGGATAGAGTTTCGGTATTGATACAGGATATCTCTGGGATAAGATGTAAATAACTACACGTGTCGAGTAATTTTTATTTATATAATCATTTATCGAAATGGGTTTGATTTTCAACGAAAACTTATCTGATTGATTCAAAGTATTGGTCGAATCTGTTAATTGTCTTTACCGTAAAAAGAGTTTTACTTTGCGTTTATGATGGATTGCACAAAAGCCTTTGTCATCTTTATCAGTTTATTTACTTTTCTCTAGGACATTCATTGAAATTATATTTTCTACCATTGTCTTCGTGACAGTGTTTTTATGTTATGTTTAACCATGTGGTGTCATTTATAAAGACTTTCTGCCTTTCTATTTCAACTTAAATTGTTTTTGTCTTATTTTGCCTTTGAATCTCTTTGTTTGTTCATTTCTTCAAAAACACCCCCACCCATATCCCTTTAAATTTATTTCTAAGGTAAAGGAGCGGTATGAATTTGGCATTTCATTTGTAACTGAAAACAAAAAACAGTATTTTAATCTTTTATATATATATATATATTTAATTATCTACTGCTAATTATTTCATGAAAAGAGATTATTTGTTATTAATAAGCTATATTATTACATGTTTATCAGTTATGTTATAAAGTATGACATATGTATGACTTCTCTTGCAATAATGTATGTGTTTTACATAAAGAAAGATCATAGCATATATGCATAATTACGGAGGTTTTGATCCATCAAAAATTTTGGTCAATTAAACTTATTTAAATTTATTAAACATCATTGTAATTGCATCTTGAATCTACCAATACGTTTTAAATGATTTTGTTGATTTGTTTTCAAAGAGCCGTTTGAAATTACTGCTGTCAAAAAAAAATACACCCGCTAAACAAAACTTTAAAACTTCCATATTTTCATCTTTAACCTCATTGTTATTTTTGAATTAATGTTTTAAGTAAATTTGCATGCACCGATTAATGATTATGCAATTGTTGCACAATGTCCTCAATACGCATAAAAATGCGTAAAGAAATGTGTAAATCATATTTAACTGACTGAGGGCAAGATACACTAGAAAACACAAAAAACAAACACCGCCGACAAATACGACATATTAATTTATAACTTGAAGCTATGATGACAACTCGGGGTGCCAAAGATAAAGGTTATATGAGTACAAAATATGATTTATTGAATTAGTTAAATTAATGAGTATTAAGTTCAAATGCATAGAACCAAGTGCACATTAAGGTTGATAAATTACCTGCACTGCAATAAAGGCGAGTTCTTCGAGTCTTCCTGATATATAGTGTGAATGTCTATCCATTTTCCCTAGAAAATGCGATAAGTTTCCTTGCGTCATAAATTCCATCACCATGGAAATGGGAGGTCCTACACAAATTCCATAAAGGGTGATTATGTTTGTATGGTTACATGTAGCTAGGATGTTGATCTGTGATTTTAAGTGTGTAAGGGCTGCTTCGTTGTCCTTTGCTTCTTTTACGACAACCTCTTTAGATCATCCTACTTTTACAGACACCCATGTACCTTTGAAGAAAAAAAGAAAAAATAAACATTTATGAAATAGTGCAAACTGGAGGCATTAAATTTGCTTTGCATAGTAAGGAAATATTGTCACTATTCATAAACTGGAGAGTTTTTTGAGTAATGCACTGAATGGACCAATTTCAGAAATGGTTTACACTCACTAATGCGGACACTCTGATAGGTATTGATGTTATATGCCAGCTCTAAGAATGCGTAAGTCGCTTAACGCAATTTACGAAGACGGGAGAATACTTCTTTATTTGCATACCCCGGGTCCGTTTGACAGAGTCGGGGGTATATAGTTATCCTCATTTTCGTCAGTCCGTCTATCCATCTATCCGTCACACTTTTTGTTTCCATATGAAAAATAGAGAACCGCTTTTTGAAATTCATTGAAATTTTAATGGAATGTTTTGGACCACTAAATAGATGTTTATTTTCGTCGTTTCACTTTTACCGTTCATGAGTTATCAATGGTACTTGATTGTTGAATAAAAACATTTTTTGTTTGTTCCGGATTATAAATGGAATACCCCTTTTTGAAATCGGTTGAAATTTTAATGTTGGACCACTAGTTTAAACATATTCTATTTGCTTAATATCAGCAAAATGGATGAGACACAAGACACAAGTAAATCATACTTATGAAGTCTTCTCCATATTACAATACAAGTATATATACAATAATCATTATGAGCATGCAGGTAAAGCGAACAATTTCATAAGATATTATACGAACTATAAATAAAAAGAAGAACAGAAAAAGAAGAACAGAAAAAGGATGACAAATGTAGAATGACTTTTTGAAATTGATTGATATTTAATGGAATGTTTTGGACCACTAAACAGAAACATTTTCCCTAGGATTGTTTCTGGTTTCCGGATGATAAATGGAAAATTACTTTATTTAAAATAATTAAAATTTAAATGGAATGGTTTAGACTACTACACAGAAGAACTTTTACTTAAACTTTTAAAAATTTAACGAGAATTATATGAAATTTAATTTCTAATTCCTTTCAAAATTAAAATAAATACTTGCGGTTTGTTTATTTTTTACGTTTTTCTAAACATCAGCATTCATGCGAGCACCTTACTCGAATTGAAATAAGAAAAAGACAACATTCAGGTCATCTGTATCTATGGTCACCATTGCACCCCACTGTTTTTATATAAAATGCCGGCACAAAATTAGGCACCAAAGAATATTTGAGAGTAACAGAAAAATTGTATACATATGAACTGACATTGAACTATGGCAAAAATAGATCATCTTATAAAATTTCACAGTTGCTACAAAAACAAAATCATGATCTCCCAGTAGGTGCGGGAGGGGGGTCCGTGATCACTAGATCAGTTCTCTATAGTGTTTAATGCTTTCGTTTACAAGTTGTTAGTGATCATTGAAGTTTCTATACATTGCACTGTTAAAGTTTAGTATGCTTACGATTAGTAATTTTTTTAGGTTACAAATATCAAATACAGTGGAAAATATTTCATGCGGCATACTTCTTGAATCTAGAAACAAATTTTATGTCATGGCTGATTTTATTAATTAAAGAAAAATTAAATTACCGCTGACCATAAAACCCTACCTGCTAAATTTGAACTATAAATTTCCCTTTTCATCTTTAAAGTACATCAAACTTCTTACCTTTCCATACGTCAGCAAATTGTCCACTTTTAATTTTTAGTCCTTTCCTTATTGATCCGGCTGTTATTTCTAGTACGTTAACAGCATTTTCTTCTGGAAATTGAAGTAAAAGGTGTTGTAAAGAGACTTTTCTTAAACATGACAAAAAACTATAGTTTTCTCAAAATTGGGCCGTTTTCCTCTGGTATCTTTATAAAAGTAATATTTTCTTTCAACATTTTACAGTTATTTTGATACCACGATTTGGTAAATCAAATATACATATTAATTTACTCAATTCGAATTTTTCAGTACATGATAAGTGTTTCTAGAACCTTCGTAATAGACACTTGAGGACAGAAAGCAGCCAAACACATAAAATGCTTCGGGGCATCAAAATAAAATGGAGTCAAAATCGATCACTAAGCAAGTTAGGCTATCTTATTCAATCTATATGCAGTTTCTTAACGGAAATGGCTTTTTTATTTGTTATTATTAACATTTTTTACTGTTTGACCGGAAGATCCAAAATTGTTTGTTCTTTTGTCATTCGAACAGGAGAAGGAGGAGCAGAAGCGGAAACTTCCGGTTTTGAAGTCTGGTATAAAGAATTATATACAATAGGACATGGTACCACTTCTACACTGACAATGCCAAGAGACTTCATACACCAATCTGTTGCATTGTCATACTTCATTGACATTTTAGTTATCTTA